GGTTCGAACCAGCGACCTTCTATATCATTTAATTAGTTTGCATATTCCCTTCCATATAATGCCTCTGAGTGCAATAGCACAAAACAAAAACAAAATTAGGACTGCCATCATGTCAATTATTAATATAAAATTAATGTGTTAAAGATGAAAGGGATTTTTTCTGAGCAGAAATAATGATTGTCATGAATTTTTAACATAATTTATAGAATACCCCCTCTAAAAAAATTTAATATTATCAGGTAGAGAAAGTTCATGTATTGACATAAATACATTTAAAGGGTTGGTTCACCCCAAAAGGAAAATGTACTCACCCTGTGCAATGGCATTACATAGTGCCTGAAAATAGTCCCCTACCAGGTAAACAGTTCTGCAAAATGTCATTGCGCCTGCTGCAGCAATGCTTTGAAATTTCCTTGATTATTACCCCAGAATGAGACTATAGTTTCTAAACATATCGATGTAGAAAATAGCAACATTTTTTTATCTATTGGGCTAAAATAAGTATATAAAGTATTTTTTTAATGAGCCTGTTTTCCAAAAGAGTGTTCCTTTTAAAGATTTTTATGAGCTTTATTTTTGGGTATTATCCTTAACTTCCACCAATAAAGACGCTCTCTAAAATTCTAACTGGCATCTGCTTTCCTTCTCTCACCTTCACAGATGATATCTTCTCGACTGGGACTACTAAACCAACAGTAAAACCGTCCTCCAAGTCCAAGAAGAGCCAGCCCATCCAGGAGCCTGCCTCAACCGCAGAAACAGCCCACAATATTTTTGATGATCCCCTGAATGCATTTGGGGGGAACTGAGTTTCTTTCATATCAGCTATGTGTTTAACTCTGTAGCGCTGTTTGTGGCCTAAAAGAAGGTAGACAAAATCTAACACCGTTTGTGAATCATTTAAACTCTAATCTGTGAAGTCATCTGATTGTTAAATGATGTAGCGTCATCAAATGGCATTGACATCTGCAACGGTTCATGTGTCTTTTATTAGCACTTTAAAGGTAAGCATTGTGTGGTCGTGTGTAAAACAAGACATTCCTTTGACATTGTCAACTGTAAGGTTTCATTTTCCAGTGTGGTGCCATAATTCTATGCCTGTGCGCCAACATAAGTGCTTTTGTTGTTTTTGTAACTCGAACTGAAGTTTTCTTGTGTTGCATGTTGAAAAGATTTTTGGAAACTAAAGAAAATATATTTTATGAAACGAACAGTATGTGAGTGCTGGAATTCAAACCTTTGTTTAGACTAATGGCAAACAAGCATTCAAATAAAAACATCCATATACACTAAGGACAACACAAGTCACTGAAGTAAAAAGTAAATGGTACATTTTGTATGAGGACGGATAAATAGAGAGAAATACATTTAATAGAACTCCACAATTTAAAAATATATAGTTGAAGTCAGAATTATTAGCCCAATCTTTATTTTTTTCCCCAATTTCTGTTTAACAGAGAAGATTTTTCCAACACATTTTCTAATCATAATAGTTTTACTAACTCATTTCTAATAACTGATTTATTTTATCTTGCCATGATAAATGATAAAAAAAATTTGACTAGATATATAAAATTATATATAAAAAATTAAAAACTGCTTTTATTCTAGCCGAAATAAAAGAAATAAAACTTTCTCCAGAAGAAAAAATATTTTCAAACATTCTGTGAAAATTTCCCTGCTCTGTTAAACATCATTTGGAAAATATAAAAAAAAGAAAAAAAATTCAAAAGGGGGCTAATAATTCTGACTTCACTTGTAGATATAATAAACAAACAAATAAAAAGAACAGATCAATATCCATCTATGTTTTTTTTTTATAACTTGAGCTTATTTTTAATGACACAACTTTGCTTGTAACATGTTAAAATGATTTCGGAAACTAAGAAAATCCATTTTATGAAACCCTGCATATATGAGCGCGAGTGCTGGAATTCGAACAAAATTTGCAGAACTCTAAAACATTGCTTTCTCTGATTTCAGAGATTTACTTTTTAATGTTTTTTTTTTGTATGTTGAGTAAAGAAGTTTGCCCTGCGTACTGGCAGTTTCAAAAACCGTTTTTGGTGCGTTAATCTCGTCAATACTACTGTTCAGTTTTTATTTTACATTCTTCGGGTGATATGAAACATAAACGTTTCAGCACAATGCCTTCCTCAGTGTGTGAAGCAATCCTCTCACTAGACTCTTTTGTCCCACAATAAATCACATTGCGTCATCAGTTAGACGGCCACTCAATGATTTCACTTCTCATTTTCATTTCAATATAACATTATTAACCACACAAGAAATATTTACCTTCACCTTCAAAAACATTTTTTCACAGGAAAATAGCAGATCAATTAGCATCATTCACTTGTCTATTTCATGATTATCATCATTATCATGTGTACATCAATACAGTGAAATTCAACAGTCCAAAACATTAAATAATACATTTTCATCTCATTATTTGTATCATTACATCTTCAAAATGATTCACAATATTCTACAGTAGCTGTACAACAAACCGTTACAGAAACACAGGAAGGTCCAATTCCTCATTTATTCCACTCGGTGTAAGTGACTTTAATTTATAAATCCAAAACGCTTCTCTTTGTAATAATCTTTTATTCAGATTAATGTTTTTTTTCCTATTTAATTAATTAAATTATTTGTTTATTTTTATTAATCATAAGTTCAAGTACAAACCATTACGGCATATTCAACAGTCCAATACAAACTGTTAGTATTGATAAAAAAGCACATGACTAAAGACATAAACAGACAAACAAACTAAAAAACTAACTAAATAAAGGGGGGCGTGAGGGTCTTAGTCAAGTAGTAGAAATAAGTTCAAAGCATGTGAAAGCCTCCGGGCATTTTTATTCCTCATGGAATGAAGAGACTTTTTGAACATCTTGCTAGCTAGCTCACATGGTCGCCTACTGATGCTAAGCAGGGAATGTGCCTGTTCAGAACCTGATTGGGAGACCACATAGGAAAGCTTGGTTGCTGTCGGAAGTGGTGTTAGTGAGGCCAGCAGGGGGCGCTCAACCTGTGGTCTGTTTGGGTCCTAACACCCTAGTATGGTAAAGGGGACTCTATATTGCTTAAACTTGGATTATACTTCTGAGTCGAGTGATTGGCGTGACCCACGGGCACGCGTTGTTGTGCATTTATACTTATGCGTGCTGTTTGTGTTGCTTTGCAATAACACTTTGAAATGTTAGCTGGCAGTAGGTTTTTATGTTCCTCTGTGTCGAGTTTCTTCGCTGGTGTTTAGTTTTTTTCTGAACGCTACCTCAATGTTGAAATAACTCGAAGTAGCTCATTTTGAGGCTGGAACCGGCGGATGTGCAACAACTTTAATCATAAGGTAAAACACAAAACAAACGTTTCTATCTGGAGCTCCTTCACAAGGCTCCACACTTGTAAACACTTGCTCCAATGGGTTTGTGCGGCTCTCGGTCCCACCCACACTTGTCAGTGCTACCAAGCCGACCAATCACAGAGCTTGCGATACGCATCATTGCGACGTGTAGTTCTGTTTTTTTTTTAGAGGTGCGTGTCAGTGTCGGTCATGGCAAGGGCTATGTGGTCTCTGTGGTCGTTAAAAATCCCAGGATGTCCTTCGAAAAAGAGTAGGGGTTTAACCCCAGAATCCTGGCCAAATTTTCCCACTGGCCTCTGTCCATCATGGCATCCCCATATCATAATTGGCTTCATCACGCGTCTCTTCTCCACCAATCAGCTGGCGTGTGATGTGCAGTCTGGTGCAATATGGCTGCCATTGCGTCATCCAGGTGAATGCTGCACACTGGTGCCAAAGAGCTTAAAATCACTGATTCATCTCTTCTTTATATCTATATATCTATTCTTCAATCATCTGATGATTCTCTACTCTTTGCTGGTGGTGTATAAGGAGATTCCGCCAAACATTGTGTCAAGTGCTTTGAGTGTCCAGAAAAGCGCTATATGAATGTAAGGAATTATTATTATTCATTCATCCATTTCCTTTCTGGCTTAGTCCCTTTATTAATCTAAGGGTTCCATGCCATTCCAGCCGCAACCCATCTCTGGAAACATCCATACACACTCATTCACACTCATACACTATAGACAATTCACCTGAACCGCATGTCTTTGGACTGTGATGGAAACTGGAGCGAACGCAGGGAGAACATGCAAACTCCACACAGAAACACCAACTGACCCAGCCGAGGCTCGAACCAGCAAACTTCTTGCTGTGAGGCGACAGCACTACCTACTGCGCCACTGCGTCGCCTATTATTATTATTATTATTATTATTATTATTATTATCAGATAATTTCTCCATCTATTAAAGTGGGATTTTACCTTTACAAATTTGCATCTATGAATAAAATGTTTAGCTAAAATAATTATGCTATTTACCAAAAGGAAAAGTCTTTGTCCTTCAAAAATATACCAACTTTGATTGAGACCACAGTTAAAGAGTGTATCTGTTTAGAATGCAGCCAATTCTGAAATTACACCCAAAAATCTTTTATAACTTCACAGTAAAAGAAATTTTTTTAACTTTATTACAAAAACTGCATAAATTGTTCCCCAGTTCATTTTTTCCATTTAAACTTAATTAATATGTAAATTTATTAGATAGGTAGATGTAATTTAAAATTTTTAAATGCTAACTTGTTACTACTTTGGCTTTAGGAAGAACCGGATACGTTAAGTATCGTTTTCTTATTTTTCTTGCCTCTTTGCTGAACTCTTGTAAAACATATTTTCTCCATTATTGACATGGGATTTATTGTTTTGACAATACATTTCTAACAAACTTATATTTAGTTCAATGTTAAACACTGTAAATGGAATAGTCACAATTTGTTGTTTGACGCTGCCAGGGTGACCGGGGTAACATCCGGGAGATGGAAAAAGGAGTCGCGAGTTTGGCCCCGCCTACCTGGCGCTTCCATTGGACGAGCGAAACTCATTTTGCACAACGGCTATTATCATTTGCTCTCCTCCCTGTCAATCAAGAACATCACAATAGGCTGCCTCCTCTTCAGATTCTTGCATTCCCTCTTAATGGAGCCGCATAACATCGGAACAAAAGCAATTGTTTGTGGCTCGCCAAAATTAGGAAGCGTCTTTCCGTGAAGAAACGGAAAAGACATCCGCAAGCGTCTACAGCATCCGCGGGTAATTCGTCGGGCTGCCCGTGCCGCTTTGCTAAACTAGCTAGCAACTAAAACAGAATTAAAGCACCTTTTATTGTGAGTTCCTGTCAGATACCAGTTCTTGGGCTGCGGAGGCTCAGTCTCGTTTACCTTTAGAGATATCTCTCTGGCTTTCGGAGTTTAGTATTCATATTTTTACCTGGGACATCAGCCAGTTCGTGATCCATTTGTCCCTCCCTGCAGATCTGTCCTGATGCTGTCAAGGTAAGATGACAAATAGGTGCACGGAAAGCCTGTTTTGAAAGTGGCTGGAAGAGGATACTTTGTTTATTAGTCGATTTTGGCGAGAAAAAAAAGATAGAAACACGTCTGTCGTGGGTTTAAAAACACTTTTGGGGTGTTTAGACTAATTGTAAGTAAACATTCTGATAACAACATCGGTTCACGTTTAAGACAGCACAACTAACCTAAGTGAAAATCGTACAGTATATTTTTGTGTCTATCTATCTAGATAGACATCTATAGATAGATAGATAGATAGATAGATAGATAGATAGATAGATAGATAGATAGATAGATAGAATATCTATAGATAGATAGATAGATAGATAGAAAATCCTAAAATGTGATTGTTAAATGTACAGTTTATTCTTATCTGTTATTATTTTTCTTGATATATATGAGTAATATATTCAATAAAAATATGATGTATTGAATAATATATACTACATTGAATAATATGATATATAAATAATATGATATATTATTTTTATTTTTATTTAATTATTATATGTATATATCTGTTTATTATTATTATTATTATTATTATTATTATTATTATTATTATTATTATTACCACTACTAATATTTACTGTGATATCTTTTTTATTTTTATTTTACATGTGTTCTTTTATCTTTTATGTAAACTTTATAAATGCTTAGGCAATAGAATTTTCATGCCAATAAAGCAATTATTGAATTGAATAGATAAAAAAACAAAACAAAAATAGAATAAAAATAATAAAATAAAAAGTTAACTGTTTATGTATTAAGGTTTGGTTATTTTAAAACAATATTAAACAAAATATTAAAACAAAAAACAAAATTGTAAAAATATTAAACAAAACATTAAATATGATAGAGTAAAATGTTATCCTTTTATGTATTAAGGTTTGATTATTTAAAAAATATATAAAAACAAAAAACTAAATATTAAAAATATTAAACAATATATAAAACATAATAGAATAACCTGTTATCTGTTTATGTATTAGGGTTTAATTATTAAAAAAAAGATTACACAAAATATTGAAACAAAAACAAAATGTTAAAAATATTAAACAATATATAAAAATAATAGAATAGCATGTTTTCTGTTTATGTATTAAGGTTTGATTATTTAAAAAAACATTAAACAAAATATTAAACAAAATTTTTTTTGAATAAAATGTTATCTGTTTATAAAAGTTTGATTATTTACAAAAATTACACAAAATATTAGAAGAAAAAAACAGAATATTAAAAATAATTTAATAAAATGTTATCTGTTTATGTATTTATCTGTCTATGGGTCAGTGATCTTTAAAGAAAAAAGATTTGTTGTATAAAGAAAAACAATAAATGCTTGTCTAATTTCATGTATTAATAATTGTGAAAATATTCACAATATAGTCAAAATCTGGATGAAAAATGGCAGTCATTCAGCATAATATAGAACAGGGGTCACCAACATGGTGCCCGTGGGCACCAGGTAGCCCGCGAGGATCACATGTGTTGCCCACAGGCCTGTTCTAAAAATAGCTCACCATAGCGCCACTTACCAGTAAGCTTCATCTAATATAGAAGTAATCATTTAAAAATGTAAATATTTGCAGAGATATATAAAAATAAAGTGTTGCACATTGATACAATAAATACAGGGTATTTCCTACCCTGTTAAATCATTGTTGATAACTTTTGTGAGAATCATTAACATGATCAGTGTCTTCACACGGATGAATATCATTAATTATTACCAAAAACATAAAATATAATTAAAAGTAAATTGAGTAAATTTGTTATTTGAGAAGTGTTTATCAAACTGGTAGCCCTCCAAATTAATTGGTACCCAAGAAGTAGCTCTCAGTTTCATAAAGGTTGGTGATCCCTGATATAGATTTTAGTTATTAAGTATATCAAATAAAACAACACTTAAACTAAAATCTCCCGGTGAAAGATTGATGTGACTTTTCAATTTCATAAGGGACCTTTTACAGCATCAATAAAGTAAATTTTATTTAGTTTAACATCAAAAGAAGTAAATGGCACTATTCCGCCTAGCCTGCTTTGAGGTGAAGTTGCTTTTGTATTTACATCACATCGGTTCATTTTTGAACAATGACAACCTGTGACGCACTCCCTATGTTTACCATGCTACTCTGAATATTCAGTCAGAAAAAGCATGTAAGTAATAAGTGTTATGTCTGCACGCCGCCAGCATGAGAGAGGGATCTGGTGGCATCTTCAAGATACGCGCCCTCGTTTTTCAGGAGGCATATCTTTGGACTGCAGGGGAGGGTCTGTGTTTCAGAGATTTATGCTAACCGGTTGGCATTGTGGCCGATCTAGGGTGTCTGTGGGGTCTTAAAAAGTATTAAAAGTTGATAAATCAATTATGAGAAAATTAAGATCCTTAAAAGCTATTAAAAGACTTAATCAAATTTTGTTCAAGCATTGTTCAAAGCATAAATATATTTATTTTTCTTCCAATATTTACAATAGCGTGCTCCATCCATGTGATTGGTTCGGGCCAGAGCGTGTCTAGCCAAGCTCCTCCATTCGGGTGATGCCACGTAATTTGCAACAAAGGCCCTAGGATAGGGCTTGTTGTTTGTGATTACTGTGATTAAATGTTGAACATATAATATGCAAAATACATAATGTTAAGTCATATGCACCTGATGCTTTCTTCCAAACACTCAATTTTTCTAGAAAATAATAGTGAAGGCGATCCACATGTAGTGAAACTGTAGAGCGAAACAGACAGCAAAATGGGAAAATGTAAGTTTGCGTACCCCTGTTTGGAAAAAGACAAGTTTAAACAGTGGCTGAAGTCTGTCACTGAAAACAACCACGTAATTTATTCTTTTAATCTTTGTTTCTTCTGAGCTTATCTGAGTTCTGTTGCATGGTTGTGCCCCATTCATTTTTTTAAGTACCACTGTTCATTAAAAGCTGATTATTAAGTGAAAAGTTTGATACTGATTAGAACTTGAAGTGGCGATTTAAATATTCTGAGAAGGTCTTTAAAAATTCTTAAAAAGGTCATTTAAATTATTTTTAGGATTCCTGCATAGACCCTGATATTGCCTACTGCACCTTTAAAGCATAGGGACAATGAGAGAGGGTTGCTTGGTGATTTCCAAAAATCTAATAAATTTGAATAAACTTTTATAATTACTGCTGTTAATCCATATTCTACAGAAGATTCAATTCAATTCAATTCAGCTTTATTTGTATAGCGCTTTTACAATGTAGATTGTGTCAAAGCAGCTTCACATAAATGGTCATAGTAACTGGAACAGTGTAGTTCAGTTTTTAGTGTTCAGTTCAGTTCAGTTTAGCTCAGTTCAGTGTGATTTAATCATTACTGAGAGTTCAAACACTGAAGAGCAAATTTATCGATGCGTAGCTCTACCAATCCTGAACCATGCGAGTCAGTGGCGACAGCGGAGAGGGAAAAAAAAACTTCACCTGATGGGAGTGAAGAAAAAAAACCTTGAGAGAATCAGACTCAGTTCGGCACGACCATTTTAATTTCTCCGCTGGCCAAAAGTCTTTTGCATACAAATAGTTACATCAAAAATACAATATCCAAACAAAAAAGCCATCAGCCTTTCATTTTTTTTTTGTTTTTTACATTGGGTTTCAACCCCTAGGGTTTTTACATTTAGATAAACGACAGAACAATAGTGTCAGTTGCACCAGATTGATTTTACAGCACTAGCTAAACTTTCTGACACCTTTACAGCACTCGCATACATTTAAAATAAATACAGGACACTGAACATGGAGGATGATCTTTTAGTGGCAGTCTCCAAAATTAAATAAAAAAAGACTTGTGATGTAACTTAAATATTGTGCCCACCAGTCTTATTAGGTGAGCTTAATAGTAAATAATAGTAATAAAAAAAATGATATGGTTGTTACAAACTTTGTTAGGTTCTTAGACTGTTGCACTTTTTGTGTTGTCAATATGCTTGTGTTTTTATAGGCCTATTGGTTTGTGTGTGTTGTGTGCAACATTTGTATAATTATAACCACTTCCGAAAATAGTGGGGGTCACAAGTCTTTGGCATTGATATTTTTGGGGTCCCAGGCTGAAAAGTTTGCGAACCCCTGCATTAAAGAACCTTTTCCACTTTTACAGAACCTGTTGTGGAATGGAAAGATTCCATTGGTGTTAAAGATTCTTCTAGAATAACATGTATTTTTATTTTTTTTATTATTATTATTATTACTATTATTATTTTTTTATTTTTTTTATTTATTTTTTTATGTTTTAACATATTATTATTTTTTATTATTTATTTATTCTTCATGAATAAGTGCCCAAAAATCAACCTTTATTTTAAAGCGCTTATCACAGATGTATTGTTTTGATGCTTGAAAACTTTTTGTGTTCCTACAAAGAAATCTATCAGACAAATAGATTCTGCTTCCCCACAGGTCAAAGCTCAGTGCATGATGTGTTTCTGCTGTGACGGAGAAGACCTCCACCTTGGGCAGGGTTCATTGTTGTCTCTTCCTGATCCCTGTCCTCCGCAATAATGACTGACAAGAGGAACCCACCGTTTTTCAATGATGACAATGTAGGCGTGCTGCACTACAAGCTGCCCTTCAGCGAGACCATGGAGCTGTTCATTGAGACTCTGACAGGAACATGCTTCCAGCTGCGTGTCTCTCCATTTGAACAGGTCGTCTCCGTCAAGGCCAAGATTCAGAGATTGGAGGGTAAGTGTTTTCTCTTGATTCATCCGACTGCACACAGTAAATGCTCTGGTAAATTATTATGTTTTAGTAGATTGTGTTGACTTTAATACTGACAATTTTTTTTTCTGACTAGTTCATTCTTTTTAAAGAGATATTTTAACAATGTTAAAACAAATACAGTTTTAGAGGTTTTTAGCAAAAATAAATGGTAAAATCTTTTTAGAATTTAACTCTACAGTGAAAAAAAAATACACATAATTTAGCTTTTTTCCCATATTTTGTGATTCATGTTTTAATTTAATTAATTAGTTTATTTATGCTCTTTCTTCCAACAATTTTTACCCTTGATAAGATCAAAAAAGTGTTTTTTAATAACAGTTTGAATAGTTTAGGTGATATATTTTCTGGGTTCGTATTGTATAATATAGTAAAACCTTTTCTTAAACTGCCAGTACATTTTCTTGCTATTTGACTTTTTCTCTATATATTATTTCTTATACATTATTTTATTTAAAACTATTAAGAAGTCACTTTGTTAAACTGTAGAGTTGAATTTTCAACGTCAAAAGTTGACAGAGCAGAGAGCAAGGTCCCATAATCACAACCGTAAATAAACGGAAAACACTTGTGAATCACAAAATAAGAACACGGTTAATAAACAGATATTTTTGTCATTGATACATTTTCTTGCAATGAAAATAGCTGTAGAAGCTGGCTTGGTGTTAAACACAAACAAACAAATGCTCTGATATAACAAGGCATTACTCTTGTTACATTCATTATATTTAATGTGTTTTGTTTTGTCATGTTTGCGAGTTGTTGTATTTTTATTGTTAGCAAAAGGTCAAACTTTGATTGAAGATTACCAAAACAAACATTTATTTTTACAGTACATTTATGGATTAACTTGCATGAATAAATTGTTCACCTAAAAAAAAAACAATGTGCATTAGCAAAAAAAAAAAAAAAAACATTGCAAATTTTGATTTCACATCAATTTTAAGTTTATCATCCCTAAATTTTTGTATCCTATTGTGTTTTAAGTATTGTGTTTTTTTCTCATACTTAGTAAGTATCACCTATATGGAGGATCATGTTTAATTAAGGATTATATGGCAATTTTCAGTCGCTCTGTGACTTTGTTTGTGTTTAAAACTGGATGCATGGAAAATATACACATTGCCTTATGCCAGGGTATCTGCAGGCTCTTAAAAAGTCTCAATGTCTTAAATCACAAAAACTTAAAAGTCTTACATTTACGGAAAAATTGTGTTGTAGGTCTTAAAGTCTTTTTTTAAACAGGTCTTAATTTTCCTTTGTTCATGTATAATCTACCCAACACCCGTCCAATCACCAACAGTCCATTTTAATAAAACTTTTAACTTTTTTTAATTTAAAAATGTAATTTTTAACTCTGTTTACCATAATGGTTTAATTTTTTCCCTTACAATAGCATTTGTTTAAAAGTTATCCATGTATTTACTGCAGACTGTTGTGCATACATTTAATTAAAACATTTAAAACATTTGTTCATTTTTTTTATTGTTGAAAAAGTGTATGTTTACATCTAGCGCTTGCTTGTTTTTACACAATATTTAAAATATTTTGCTAAGAAATATCTAAAATGTAAATGTTTTATTATTAAATTATTAATCTTTTATTAAATGGATTCAATTATAATAAGGTTTTTGATAGAGCAAATAAAAATATTTTCCATCATTTGCCATTCGAAAAACTTAGCGTTTAACTTAAAATTGTCTTAAAAATGTCTTAAAGGTTAAATTTAACATGGTGAAATCTGCAGAAACCCTGTATACATTTATGACATTTAAAATGTTAAACTTTAAGCATTAAACACTTAAAAAAATGTCTTAATATACTAACTTTTTAAAACGGTAAAATTAGCAAATATTTTTGCTACTTAAAATGACATTGTTTTATTGTAATATACTGTATTGCAAAATCCCAAAAGCTGAGTTTTAAGCAGCCACTTTTTCAGAATTGAGTGTCACACAATCTTTCAGAAATCATTATATGAGGATTTAGTGCATTTCACCATTATTGTAGAAAACTATTGAGCTGCTTTTTGAAAAAACTCTTTAATTAACACAAAAATAAAATCACAAGAACGCAAATTTGTGTGAAATGAGTTTAATTTACTGTCAATTTAATCAGAACTTACTATTAAAAATCATGTTTGGTGAGTTTATCTTTTCTTAAAGCAAGTTGTATAATAAATATATTACAAACATAAGGCTTTATAATTATTATTCTAAACAAGCCATCTGGAACACTAGTTATCCACTTATTAGGTACAAAGATACAGAGTTAAAATGCAAGTCTGTGCAGATTGCATAGTGATTTAATGTAATATAATTTAATTGAAACAATTCAAAAGCAGGCAGTGGGGTTTAGTCACAAAAGTGTAATTTGATGTTTTCAGTCAGATTTACAGAAAGAAATTGAGTCGTTTATTAACAGTTGGTACACTCTTTAATTACATTTGTTTAGCAGATTCATTCATGCGGCTCCAGATAAAGCACATGTTTTTCCAGTTTAACACATGAGCGGTCAAAAAAGTAGATGAGTATAAACTGCATCTCTCCCTCACTATCAAAGCTGCCATTGTTATTGCTCAGTTGCTAAAATTGCTGCTTCCATAAAGCTTCCAAGGGCATGGTTAAAACTGCTTTATCAGGACAGCAAATGTTAGATTTTTGATGGGGGACAAGGCTTAAAGTCTGCTTGAACTGGAAGTTGCTTAGACTTTTATTTCGTATGTTGATGCACTTCCAAGTGTGATATGGAGTATTTTGCACATCATTCTCTCATAGCAAACTAACATTAAGAGGGGTGTGGTTAAGAATATTGTGACTGACGTCAAAAGAGAAGGACCACCACACTAAACACGTAGTTTGTTTAATGTGATTTTTGCTGAAAATTAGGACTGGGTGTTCTTCATTTGTGTATTTGATTGGCACAATGCTCTTAGCTGATAAGTGTAAAATGAAGGAGACAACAAAATCATTAGAAAGCATTAAAAAAGGCAGACTGGATGTTATCGGTCCAGATGTTTATCGCATTCTCTTTAAACATTTCATTCCCAAGAGCAGATGGTTTTCCTTTCTGGATTCCTTTGACAGGGTTTGAATCTTCCCTGCAGTATTTAGCTTGATGAAAGATGAATATTTCCACCCTGTGGATTACAGGTGAAGTCCGGCTTAGTTTTAGTTCTGCCGTGTGCACTCGTACACTTTGCATCTGTGGTCTGAAGCCGCTGCCCTTTTCCAGGGATCGGTCCAGATACAGAAACAAGTACGAGATCAGATGAGAAACTTAAATACAGAATGTGTTTTCAAACTGCTGTTTAAAATTGACGAGATATAATTTTTACAATCAGATTTTAACAGATATGTTAAACTGTTTCAGTTACACCTGGTCATATGAATATGTCTCTTGCAAAAACTATATCTGTAAAATAAGTATCATCTTCAATGTGTTTTAAATCACCTTTTCGCTTTGTGTTTTAGTGTGTTTATATAACCTTTTCACAATAAGATTATCAATTTAGAGAAGTGATCAAGTGTAAATAGAGCATAGAGCTTGCTTCACTACTCATTAGGACACTGAGTGTGACATCAACATTACCTTCTCATACTTTAACCTCCACATTAAAGTTCCTAAAAGCAAAAAAGGTCAAGGGGCAGAACTGGACCTACACTATAAGTTCTGGAAGCAGGTCACCTGGTTTGTTGCGTGTATGTGTGCACCATTTACCTGGGGAAGTAATGTCAGTAGGGTGCACTCTGGGATGATAAAGATGTTGGACAGGTTGGTGTTATGTTGTAATTTTTTGGGTGTAAAGTATTAAGCCGCGGCCACGCCACACTTTTCGCCCTATAGACTTCTATTCAAATGCATGTGAATGCAACTAACCGGAAACACAAGCTTGTGCAACAAGTTTTGCATGTCGATTCATTTGAAAGTTCGAGCTTGTTGAACTCTAACCTGCAAAATCGCATCATGTGATTGCGTAAGAACAATAGAAGATCAAGACATGGCCTCTCTGGACATAAATGTACAGGATAAAGCTATCGCATTCTTTATCAAAGTTTTATCCCGCCCCTTTTTCACAGTGCCATACGAGATAATTTCGCAAACTCAAACTCTGCCGTGACCACGGCTTTAAATGTTGCAGATCAGGTACAGCCCTTCATGAAACTGGTGTTTTCAGATTCAAGTTGCTTCTTTCAGCAAGATAATGCACTTTGGTACACTGCACTCAATGTTCTGAACTGGTTGAAAGAGCACGATGGGTTCAAGGTATGCTGCCTTAATCCAGTATCACATCCAGCATCTGTGGGGTGTTTGGGACGCACAAGTTCAATACACATTGGCTCAGCCTTGCATCCTACTAGATTTGAAGGATCTGCTGCTAAGATCTTAGTGCCAGTCAGATACCAAAGGACATGTTGAGGTGTTTTGTAAAGCCCTTAGGTTCGTTCCAAATCAAATATTTATACACTGTTCTATACCATTTGTTGTATAAATAGTGTAAGTAGTATTTTCACATTGAAAATCTTTAAAAGAATAAGCGTTCTTTATATACCAGGATGATTTACACATTATTCAACTGATAAAAGTAAATGTGCTTTAATTATGTTGGATTGCGTTAGCAAAATTCTCTTATCGAAAAACTGATTTCACTAGCATTTTAAACCATGATATTGTGGTCTAAAGTAAACCTAAAGCAATCATGACAAAATAACATAAAAGCTTAATTTCAATATTAAAACATTCAATATTACTGAGCAACGGTTATCATCAGAGTCAGAAAGCATTTCTTTGCTTGAGCAATCCACAAGGACAAGACCTCAAAAATCATACATTCAGAATTTTTAGAAAACAATGATCTCAACATGTATTAAATAGGCTAAAAAAGATTTTCAGTTTATGGTTGGTGCATTACCAAGCCACTAAATAAAACAAGCATTGTAATTTTCCTGATGCTGTTTTTAACG